GTGCCTCATTGGTCTTGAAGTCGACTAGGTACTGATTATATGGACCAAAATCAGATATTTACAGGCTTAGGATTATACAGGCTATTCAAACGACTTCAAAATAATTTAAAAGACTTGTACAACCGTCTTCAATATAAATTATTAAAAATAACTCAAAAACTATTACTCAGACCTTGATCAAATTTATATGGGACCACATGAGAAGCACCAGCTTTCAAATATAAAAAAGAATCATCGAAATCGGTTCACACAGAAGAAAGTTATGGAGTAACGCATATTCCGGTCGAATTGAGTTCCTCCTCCTTTTTGGAGTCAGTAGAAAAGGAGGAGGTTCTCAATTCCACTGTATTTTTTTGTGTGTAGAACTTTTTTCTAGGTCTACTATTTTGACGATTCTTTCTTTATTTGAAAGCTGGTGCTTCTCATGTGGTCCCATATAAATTTGATCAAGATTTCACTAGTAGTTTTTGAGTTATCCTTAATAATGCGTATTTCATTGACTTCAACTATATATTACATTGACGCTGTTCCCATTTTATTTATATTGAAGTCGGTTGTACAAAATTTTTAATTTTACCACTTGTCTGTCAATAAATTCTCGGTTAGCAGTGTTTCACCTTCAAGCCTCTATAAAGCCTCGTGCCAGATTACAACCCCACCAGACCATGATATTGAGGAAATAGAGTTTACCTTTGCTTGCGCATGGTCACTATAATCCTGCCCTGCACAGATGGCTAGAGTAGACAAAACTGTTGTGTGACCATGATCCAAATTCGATCTGGAGAATGTTATTATTCTTATTATTATATTATTTATGTTATTACTGAATTTAATTGTTATGTTTGTATTAAATGAATATTGTCTTTGAATAACAAAAAATTTGGAATTATTTAGTCCATTCAATTTTAATAATGGTAGGACCATTAAAGAACATGATTTTCCCTTTTCTAACTAGAATTTCGTCTGGGTTTGTACCGCCGTCTTACTTATTTCTGCCAGTAACATCATTACTTATAATGATTTGTTCAAGTCTAAAGGGTACGGAGAGCCAGTACAATTACAGGCTGAAAGGCATTTCATCTTAGTTCAATAGTAGTAAATTATCTGTGGCCTTCTTTGATTATTTGGTCTCTGAAGCCACTAACCATCAAGTAGACGAGGAGCTCATCTGTCACCCTTATGAAAAAAAACTGTTGATTTTGATTCATATACCCTGTCAAGTCTCTTGTATAGTCTTTTTCTCTACTATAGACATTGCCTTACAATTTAGTTCGTATATTTTCCGCGGTACCTCTTTCTTGAAACACTCGTTAGTAATCTATGCTTTCAAGCCAAGTAAAACGTCTTATACGGTCCATCTTGACGTACGTCACGCACGGCACGTCATGCACGACGCATGACCTAAAACGACAATGAGTAGGCTTGACGTACGACAAGCCGTCCGACGTGTAGACCGTATATAAGACGTTTAAGATATTGATTCATTTGTAGTTTTGTTTTACGCACCTCCACAGGCCAGTGGTTTAAATACATATAATGCGAAAATACAAATGTACAACATTTGACATGTTTCGTAACTTTGTAATTATTGTAAATAAATATTTAATAAAATTTTGTTTTGTTTGCTTTTACTTCACAATTGCGTATAAAATATGAGGGCGAATATATCTGTCTTAAAGTGGATTTTTATAAAATCTGGTAAAGACAAGTACTGATATACAGGATTATTTCGCAATAACCGGCCAAATTTGCAGAGGTACAAAATAAGTAATATAGGCAAATGGTGAAGAAAAATTAATTAAAAAAACACCTCAAACATTCTGTCCTTTTTATCTTTTATATTCTACATACGTGGTAATGTATTATTTTAACATTCGTAAGGTTTGATCAGTAGGCAAAATGTTGTTGCCCATGAATCACATTCAATTTCGGATAATTTAAAATAAATGTAGAAGCCTTATTTACTTGTATTTTCAAAAACTGCAATAACGGTATATCATTATTTATATGTTTGAACTTAAGTTTCAAGTTTGGCTACTATTTGAAAAATAACCCTGTATAAATGATTAGCTTTTAATGAAAGCACCGTGAGGAAAATACATGCCTGAGGAATACATTTTCATTTGAGGACATGTGAAATCTGCCAACACACACGGGTTAGCTTGGCAGATTCTACCCCGCTCCAAACCTAAGGAGTGGTAAGTAATCCACTCCTCCAGGCTTGTGCCCACCAGTGGAACATATGTATCTTCTGTATTATGTAGGTGTCTTTGAAAAGATAGAATAGAATACCTATGAGTGTGAAGTTCCGTAAAGTGAGTGATGAGAACCGGAACCTTTTAACTAATAACGAGACATTACATCTTAGACCTCAAGGGTGAGAACACATCAAAATCTTGATTCCTAATTGTGGCAAAGCTTTTTTTTATCGAATAAGGGTGACAAACGAGCACACAGTCACTTGATGGTAATAGGATGCCGTGGCCCATAGACATCAACATCTTACCTCGATTAAGAATCAAAATGTAGATGCATTGTTACCCCTAAGGACTAAAATAGAATGCCCCGTTCCCAGTAACAATGTTCTCCGGTTCTCTACACTCATCATACGAAACACAGCAGCATCGACCTACTATTTTACGCTAATATACTGTGAGAATGTGATCCTACGACGGTTGAGCGCCGAGTCATTCATGCTACAACCATAATATAGCTGCAGCTTGGCTCTACTACATACAAATGTGTGGTATGTGGGTGTCTATGGGCCACAACATCCACTTACCATCAGGTAGACTGTGTCGTAGTATGTGATCCTTACTACAATCATCATCCGATGATTCACTTGACTTGTGAAAAACTGTAATGATGATTCATTACAGTTTTTCAAAGTCCACTGCTGAACATAGACCTCCCACAAAAATGCCACAAAACACGGTCCTGATCCACCCACATCCATCAACTTCCTGCATGTCTTACCAAGTCGTCATTCACAACTAATAGGGCCTGTTCACTTACCGGTACGTGGCTGCCAGTTGATCTAACCTTTCTATCTTAACTTTAGCTACTAATTGCTACTTAAGCTTAAATGGTTTTATGTAGGTATATTACATATAAAATAATATAAAAAATTAATTACATAAATTAATTTTTTATATTATTTTATATGTAATATTATTTTTAAACCTATCATTATACATGGAATGTATGCAAGAAGTCTGATACTGCAAACGCCCAAATGTGGTCAAACTCTCCCTCTTGTATGTTAACGCGTCAAGCAAAATTTGGTGTATAATTTTTACTGTATGTTACCCTCTTGACTTTATTGAGGTGTGAAAAAACCGTTTGCAGATTTCAAAAGCGTTTTTGAAATTGCTAGGACTTATCAAAAATTCCTGTAACCCGGGACATGCTCCGCTGTTCCTAAACATTTCCAGCGGGACCCGGTCATCTGGCAACTCGTAGTCCGTCCGTTATGAACTTGCAACATGACGGTCTGCGCAGGTACGACGTAAATAAAACTAGCTTTGCGCAGCAATCGGTCAACAATGGATAGATCTATCCTGAGTTGCCATTGCATTGTCACCCGTAAGGAATAAGATGGAATGCCTGAAACACGGCAGTATAAAGCTGCTATTTTACGCTGGTATTCTGCGAGTGTTGTCCTTCCCCGGTCGAGCCACCATTAGTGCAACAACCATTAATAATTGCAGCTTGGCTCTTACACATATAAAACTATTGGTTTAAGAGCCAGTGAGCGGCAAACTTACAGTATTTCAACAAGCTTCACGTTTTTTTCAGTTAATCCCCCTATACCTAAGGCAGGCCCTCCGTCACTCGCTCAAGGCCCTGCCTTATATGCCTACCGTTATGCGTATCGCCCACGATATAACCGACATTGGGCTGCTGCACGCCCGCCTGAGCGCTTGCACCGCGCACGTTTCCCGCGCTTACTCGTCGAAATGCCGAAACCACGTAATTATTTTGCAGTGGATGGGTGTCTAGAGTCAAAAAATCATTTTTAAATAATTTTAACAACGCCATAATGAATCGGCCTGGCAGCAGCGATAAGATTTAATAACCGAGAAATCAGAGAAGGAAAAAAATGTATAAATCATTTTATAAACTCAAACATATTTGATTGACAAATAAAAATATGGTTATTTCGCAAGATTCGTTTTATTACAATAATCATCATAGGTACCCTAGCGCATTCGTGCGATGACGCGCTTGCACGTGAGTCCACGGCGGTCAACACAACCTCGACTCTTTATGCGCGTGCTTATGGTACATTTTCGTCTCGCTGCGAACAACAGATATTATTATTAAAAGTTTGTAGGCTATTATAGCGTAGATATTTTCGCTTTTGTATGGGGGTGATGTATCTGTTTACTTTAGTAAACTATTTAGTAATCTGTGCCTAAGGTACATGAAATGGGAACTCTTTTAGTTTGACCGGCGGTCGATATAAAGACGCTCAGATGTTAAAGGTGTAAAAAAATAACCAAAAAAACATGATAGCAATAAGTCTACCGCTTTAACATCTTGAAATATTCAACAAAAGTTACCGAAAAATAACATTGGTAGACACCTATGACGGTTTCAAGGTCACGGCAGATAAGTTGAAAAGTACAATTTTTTATTAATAATTTACGTTATTAAAATAAAGCTGCAATTTATATATAATATTATTGATAATATTATTTGACATGTATAATTTTCATGGCAGACATATATTGTGGTTGTAGCACCCAGGCAGACAACAAACTTCTGGGCCGTCCATAAGCGCGTACTAATACATGTCTGGTCAGTGTCTGCCGCTCACTGGCTCTTAAACTATACGTTTGTACGTTGCGCATTCATATACGCCGCGTGTTGAAAACATACAAGTAGTTTTGCCAGTGCCTGTTCTAGACATTTCTATTTTATAAGTCAATGTTATATCAATTATAATACTTTTAATAGCTAACAAATAAATAATATTTAACACAATAACAAGGCACCTAACCCAATTTCAAGCACTCGAGAACATTAGGTATCGTATCACTCTTGTGTTTGCACAACATCCGTAGCAGGTTCAATTTCTTCTCGTTTGTCTTTGATGACTCCAATTCGTAGAGGGTGCAAAGGTTTATGAGAAGTTTTTCATTCAGGCCCCTCTCTGGGTCCGAGTTGATTGCCTTCTGTAGTACAGATATAGCTTCTTTCAGACGTCCCATGTAGAGTAAGCATACGGACAGGTTATTCGCAACCTGTGAAAGTGTAATTTGTTTGTTATTATGAGAAGGAAGCACTAAACTTTGTTCTAATGAAACTTTTATTGCTATTTTAAGTTTTAATAAAATATCTAGCTTGGATATGTTCTTGAAACTTAAAATTTGAAAGAAATTAAAAGAACATCTACGAGGGCGGCACTGAAAATTTCGGGAATCAAGGAAGTGACATAACATTACTATTTAAAAATATGTTTATTGCTTTTCGAAGTATTCTCCGCGAAATTTGACACATTTTTCATACGATGGAACCAATCATTGAAGCAACCATTCCATTCGGAAGTTGGGGTCTCCAAAATGGCCGTTTTGTAGGCGTCCACAGCTTCTTCAGGTGATGAAAATCTCTGTCCACGCAATTTATTCTTTATTTTAGGGAAAGTATAGAAATCATTAGGGCTTAGATCGGGTCTGTACGGCGGATGGTCTAATAATTCTATGTTTTCTCGCTCTAAAAACTCTTTTGTTCTGTGTGCGGTGTGAGAACTCGCATTGTCGTGATGGAGGATGATGCGGTGGTTGCAGTTATCTTTACGAAGTTCAGAAACGACCTGTGGCAAACAAATGCTAGCTACCATTCTGCATTAACCGTTCTTTGTCCCTCAAAAGGAATAGTCGTAAAATGGCCGGTTTTGGAGACAAACGTGGCCACCATTTTTTTTTGCAACACTCCGTGAACGAACAATTTTTGTTGGCTTTAACTCATTTTCGAACACCCAAACTCGTGACTGGTTTTTTGTTTCGGGTTCGTACGCGTATATTCAGGATTCGTCACCTGATACGATGTTGTATACAACATATGAGGATCCTGAGTGGAATCTTTCGAGAGTTCTTACGCACCAAGTAACGTGAGCCGCTTTTTGCTCTTCACAGAGCGAATGCGGTATCCATCGGGAAAACAACTTTTTTACACCTATGTGTTCATGCAAGATTATTTGTATTTGACTCATGCCAATGTCTAAAGTTGCCTGAATTTCGCGGTATGTCACATGTCGATCTTCCTCAATCAGCTTACGCACAGCATCAACGTTTTCTTGGGTGACTGCAATTTTTGGACGACTTTGACGGGGATCATCACTGAGCTTGACACGTCCACGTTGAAATTCAGCAAACCAGCGATAAATTGTGGTTTTGGATGGGGCTTCATCACCAAATGCAGAAATCATCCGGTCAACACACTGTTTTTGTGTTAAACCACTTCGAAAGTCATAATAAATCATCGCTCTTGAATTTTCTCGACTCAATTCCATTTTCTCAACGACTAAACAAGTTTGACAAAACCTTGTCAAACTTGTTTAGTCTTGTGACAAGACCGAGAATAAAATAAATGGTTTTAAAAATATTCGAATTTTAAAACCAAGGACTTTTCAATTAAAAAAAATTAATATGACAGGAACAGTGGAAATATTCCATTCCCGATACTTTTAGTGCAGCCCTCGTATAATATAAAAATGAATCGCTGAATGTGTTGCTAAGCGCAAATCTCGAGAACAGCTGAACCGATTTCGCTAATTCTTTTTTTATATTATATCTTGAAGTAGGAAGATGGTTCTTATGGAGAGAAAAATTTTAAAAATTGTCTGAAAAAGTCTAAAAACAACACTTTTCTATATTCCCATACAAAAGATTCATAATAATTCTTAAAAGTCAATTTGAACTTTAATACCATACCATAAAGTTTAAGTGTTAGTGGAGGGGTTCCGGGAAGGCAAAACAATTGAGTGACATTAGTATCGTATATTAATGTCAATATTTATACACACTGGCAGATAGCTGATGTTATAACTTGGGCTGCTTTTATTTTAGGGTTCCGCAAAGAAGAACTCCACGCAGGCGAAGTCGCGGGGAACAGCTAGTGTTTATAAAGATTTATTCCTGTTATGCTGTGCCCGAACGTCCGGGATAAAAAAGCGATAGGCACAACTGAATCTAGTGCCGATTATTTAAAAATAAAATGACGAAATCATCATCCCATTGCCCTTCCAAAACTGGCCGATTTACCTTTTCTTTTTGTCAAGAATTAATATAAGAAGAATAGTGTTTGTTTGTATATTTATGTTTGTTAAATTTATTTGTAGGATGTCTAATAACGGCGCTATAACTGGGTACTTTTAGTAATTTTAGATTTCCACTTTTTAAAATAATTTATGAAAAAAAAATCATGGTTGTTGTAGGTACACTGTACCGTAAAAATATTTGTTCTAGTCCAGAAGTTCCCAAAGTGTGCGTCGCGGCACCCCAGTGCGCTGTAAAAATCAGAGTCTATCTACCATCCTCCAGAAACTAAACTTAGGTATTCGCGGGTACAAAATAAACAACGCAAATCGCGCGCGCTGCATACGTCACTCACTCGCCGATAAATACTTACGCTTGGAAACGTACCCAAAATAAATATCCGACTAAGTTCAAAAGTTCTAAGAATTCTTATTCCCTATACAACATCTTATCAACTTCATATTGTGTATGTTTTAACCTAGTATCATTGTACAAATGAGACAAAATACTAAACCTGTAAGTACGCGGCTAACTGAAAAAGTTTGGGAACACTTGTTCTAATCATTATCCAGTGAGAAAATAAACTATTTTGTGAGCCACCACCACAAAACTCATCTATAAATTCACCATTATATTGGTAGGCTCTTGATCAGCGGCTCTCGCGAAGTTGTTGGCAGCTTCTTGGTACTTCCCGTGCGCGATGTCGATCAGGCCCAGGTCTACGTACTCCCTCACGTCTGGTGTCGGGCATCTAGGAGATGAAATAGAATATTATATAGAAAATTTTCACATGGTAGAGCCATGCCGCTGCTATATTACTGGTATACTTGTAGCACGAATGGGTCGACTCGACTGGGGAAGGACCACGCTCTCACAGAATACCGGCGTAAAATAGCAGTTTAAAACTGCTGTGTTTCGTATGGTGAGTGTAGAGAACCGGAGACCCTATTTACTGGGAACGAGGCATTCTATCTTAGTCCTCAGGGGTGACAACGCATCTGCATTTTGATTCGTAATCAAGGATAGATGTAAATGTCTATAGGCCGCAGCAACCACTTACCATCAGGTGGACTGTGTGCTCGTTTGTCACCCTTATCCTATAAAAAAGGGGTAGTCAGAGTTCAAAGAACAGCGAGTCACTCGGACCATGTGAAACAACCTGGACTAAGTACCAGGATCGCTTACGTGCTTCACCCCTCTGGGATTACAAGCGTGACGTATAATTATATATGTATGTATGATATCTCAATAAACAAACTTAGTACTTACAAATGATGCCTCTGTTCCCTAGCATCTTCTAGATGTACCATTGCAGCCTTGACGTGCCCCGCTAGTAACCACAGTCGACAGAGGGCGCTCGACAACGCCCTCTTCTGGGCCGGAGAGGAGGCTTGCTTCTGTAGTGAGACTAGTATCTTGCTTGCTAGTCTGTAATCCTGTAAAACAATATGTTTATATTGAACAAGACGGAATGAGTGGGAAGGATAGTGAATGATAAGTTTGTATAGCATGTAATAAAATTAGAAAAAATAATTATATAAATGTACATTTGCAGTCTCTGGAGTCTAATAGATCAACGAACTTCAAATCCTACATACTCCTGGTTCCTGCAAAATACACAGACATTCCTCGCTCTCTATTTCTGGCCCTCTGGGGTAGTGTATCGCTGATACAGGGACGCACCAAAGAAGAAAGGTCCCTAAATAGTGTTGTCTTTTTTTTTTTAATATATGCTTAGGTTAAGATAATTGCTATGAGCAAATATTCTTAATGTTTAAGTCCTCAATGCCTGAAATAAAGGTTGTGTTGTATTTTATAACATTGTATATTATGTAATCTATACTCTATAATAATAATAAAGCTTTATTTCTCTACACATTTACAGAGTTAACAAAAAAAATACATAGAACTATTAGAAATTATTTGTTGGTTTATGTAGTCCCTCTTGGGTAAAAGCCTCCTCCAACTTGAACCATTCTTCGCGGTCTTTGGCAATTTGCATCCATTGTTCTCCTGCTGTGTTAATAATGTCATCCACCCATCTTTTCCTTTGCCGTCCTACACTCCTCTTGCCAAATGGGCCCTTCCATTTTGTTGTTTGGTAGATCCATCTTTTGCCCTGATATCTAGCTATGTCTCCTGCCCATTTCCATTTTTGTATTTGGCTATGCTGAAGTGCATCCGTTAATTTAGTTTTCTTGCGGATATCTATATTTCTTATTTTTTGTATTCTTCTTAATTTAAGGATGCTTCTCTCCATAGCATGTTGGCAGGACAATTTTTTGTTTTTCACTCTTTCAGTATACACCCATTTTTAAATAAAACTAATTTACCGATTTTATCGCGTATATTAACTTATTTTTACATATTCCCGACGTTTCGGGTGCTTTCCAGCATCCGTGGTCACGGGGGACTGAGTTGTTTGACGTCCTGCTGTCATAGTTAGCCCGGCTACCTTCAGTTTTTTAATATTAATTTTTGGTTCGATTTACGCAGAATGAGCTTACAGTATCATGAAGTCTAGCAGTGGTATACTTGGGTTTGGATTTGATTTTATTAATTATGGGATCCCAAGCAGATGGCAGCACCCATCCATCTTCTCTATCGAAATTAGGATGTTTTTTAATTTCAATAGCCTCGCGAATCATCCTTGGGAGGAATCGGTGTTCTTTTGCGAGGATTTGTGGTCTATCAAATCTAATGTAATGGCGGGGGCGATCTTGAACATGTTCACAAAGGTAGCCGGGCTAACTATGACAGCAGGACGTCAAACAACTCAGTCCCCCGTGACCACGGATGCTGGAAAGCACCCGAAACGTCGGGAATATATAAAAATAAGTTAATATACGCGATAAAATCCGTAAATTAGTTTTATTTAAAAATGTGTAGTGTTCGCGTAAATATAAGAAATCATTAAGTATACACCCATGTTTGGCTTGGATATGTTAGACTTGGGAGGATACACGAGACCATAATGACCTTTTTCATTCTTAGGCTGTCTATATTCTATACATCTATACTCTATACAAATAAATAAAATTGAAGTGTCTGTTTGTAATATCAAAATAACAGCTTTTTACTAAATACATATGAAAGTGTATATGGTACTTAAGACAAAAACACGTTTTTTAAAGTTTTTGTCTGACTGTCTGTTTGTTCCGGCTAATCTCCGAAATGGCTGGACCGATTTTGACCGAATTTTCACTGGCAGATAGCTGATATTATAAGGAGTAACTTAGGCTACTTTTATTTTAGTAAAAGAATTAGGGTTCCGCGCAAAAAAATTAAAGCCCTAAATTGAACGCGGGCGAAGTCAAATAAAGTAGTGATAGCTCAGGTGTAAGCGCTGGTCGTAAATTCACAGTATGTAAGTAACCCGGTTCAATTCCCACTAAAGATAGTTTTTCTATCAGAGATTTCGGAACAATAAGGTAGCTATTTCAGTGTAACAAAAACAGACACTTCAATGTTATTTATATATTAAGAATATATACTATAAACTATATTATGCAAAAAAAAAATAAAAAATTGTCTACTAGATATATAAAAAGCATACTGCAGACTGTGCCCTATTTTTTTTTATCTGAATTTACCTAAATATTACCTAAGTATTTTGAATGAAAATGAAAACTGTCATACCTTCAAAGCTATAGCACAATTAACTATAGAATGTAGGACCCTTGTCTGTCTACCTGTCCACAGTCTAATAGACTCGACTTTATCCTGTTCGGAAGTTATTGTGCCTGTTCCATCTTCTGTTTTACCCTGTTGCAAGTTCGATAGCATCTGTAATTTATAATTTTTTTATATGATAAATGAGTTTTGGATTTTTACGATTTCCGACAATCGAACGTACCATTTTTGCGACAAATATTTACTTTAAGAATTTTCTTTGTTTTAAAGCTTTTTTTAATGACTGACCGCCTTTTCACTATATATAACAATATCTCGAGGGTAAACTACTATGGAGTAGCTTAGTATGTATGTGGTAAACTTTAGTATGTGGTAGAGCCACGCTGCAGCAATATTATGGTTATATATGTATGTTAGTATGGCTATATTATGGAATGGGTCGCGGCTCGACCGGGGTAGGACCACACTCTCACAAAATATCAGCTTAATGCTGCTGTGTGTCGTATTGTAAGTGTCGAGAACCATAAACCCTTTTTATCAAAAGAGGCATTCCATCTTAGTCCTCATGACTGACAACGCATCAGTATTTTGAATTTCTCACAAAATACCAGCGTAAATAGCAAATAAGCTTAATGCCGCTGTGTTTCGTATGGTGAGTGTAAAGAACCGAAGACCTTTTTACTGGAAAGGAGGCCTTCCATCTTAGTCCTCACTGGTGACAACGCATCTGCGTTTTGATTCGCAAACGAGGATAGATGTAGATGCCTATGGACCACAGCATCTACTTACCATCAGGTGGACTGTGTGCTCGTGTGTCACCTTATCCCATAAAAAAAACGAAGATGCAGCCTGACTCTACCACATAAAATGTATATTATATTAGTTTTGTAATCTTTGTAATAGTAATTCCCAAATTATTCGGTAAAGACATTTCATTTTAGACATCAGGAGCGACATTTTGATTCTTAATCGAGGATCAGGTGGTCTGCATGCTTGTTTGTCACATTTACTTTGTTTTCACTTATTATAAGCCGTGCTTGACCACAATCTCACCTGGTGGTAAGTGGTGATGCAGCCTTAGATGGTAAATCGCACTGTCTTAGTGTAACAAAAGCCTGTTCAGTCTTGCCTTGTAGACGCCCAGATTGTATTCGGACGGAAAGACAGACATCGGCAAATTATTCCACTCCTTTGCTGTACGCATTACAAAAGACTAAGGAACCCGTTTGGTTCTAATGCGTGGAATATCGACAACAAAGGGGTCCGATGGTGGAAAGGCCAAATTGGCCTCTAAAAAGTTTGACGTGCTCAGCAGAGCGAGACAGTATTTCATGCCGGCACATCGCTTGCAACTTTACAAAGCGCAAGTTCGGCCCCACATGGAATACTGTTCTCATCTCTGGGCCAGGGCACCCCAGTGCCAGCTCCTTCCACTTGACCGCATCCAGCTCAGAGCGGTTCGAATCGTCGACGACCGAGTCCTTTCTGATCGGCTCGATACACTGGCACTGCGTAGGAATGTTGCATCCCTTTGCATTTTCTATCGAATTTACCACGGGGAGTGCTCTGAGGAAACGTTCGGATTAATTCCAGCCGCCAAATTTCACACATCGCGTCAAAATTCACGATACCATCCTCACCAGCTGGATGATTGGCGGTCCACCACTGTGCGATTTAGAAGATGTTTTCTTCCTCGCACAACTTCCATGTGGAATAGTTTACCACCAGCGATTTTTCCGGACCGATACGACTTAGGGACCTTCAAGAAAAGAGCCTACTCTTTTTTTAAAAGGCCGGCAACGCATCTGCAATTCCCCTGGTGTTGCAGTTGTTCATGGGCGGCGGTAGTCACTTACCATCAGGTGAGCCGCATGCTCGTTTGCCCCCTCGTCTATATAAAAAAGGAGAGGGAGGAATTAAAGCGTGTAATTCCTGCGCACACTCACCGAAATGCATCCTATAGAATACCGAGAGACTGGCTACTCTGTGTCTGTGTTCGAGGCTGATAAGATTAATTTCAACCAAATCAAGGAAATTCCTTAAAATACTTTAAGCCTTAAAAGTATTAAGGCATACATAAAGTAGATTTACAGTTTATCGACACTATGCATTCCATGCTATAAACCCACAAGTTAGAAAACAACTTTTAGTGATTATTGTTCCTATTACCTTTTGTATAACGTCCAACATCGTGTACAGCCTGTCCATTGCCTCCTCAGGCTTGCCCACGTGGCCCGGCAGTTCGGCGATCAGTAACCTCAACGAGAACGGCGCCATCGAACCGGTTCGATTCTCGTACGTGTCGGGATAGAACTGTAAAATATTATTATATTAATGCAACCAATCACATGTGTAATTCAATTCACTTAATGTAAATCCGCTAGTGTATGCAGTTGTTCATGGGCGGCGATAGATAATTATTACCATCGGGTGATAACAGCGTGTTTCACACCTAGACATAAGACTTACGCTTACGGGACTTACTTGACGCCAGATGGCTGCATTAGTTAGAAGATTTATTATATATGTAGTAGAGCCATACTGCAGCTATATTAGTAGCACGAATGGGTCGGCTCGACCGGGGAAGGACCATGTTAGTCTGGGACCCACCTAACTACGCTCTCACACTCCGCTCTCACAGAATACCAGCGTAAAATAGCAGCTAACACTGCTGTGTTTCGTATGGTGAGATATTCGTATGATTTGTGTAGAAAACCGCAGACCCTTTTTCTACCGACTTCAAAAAAGAAGAGGTACTTAATTCGACTGTACATTTTTTAATGTGGTCCCACATATTTTTTTATAGAATAGGGGGCAAACGAGCATACGGCTCACCTGATGGTAAGTGACTACCGCCGCCCATGAACAACTGCAACACCAAAGGAATTGCAGGTGCGTTGCCGGCCTTTTAAAAAGGAGTAAACTCTTTTCTTGAAGGTCCCTAAGTCGTGTCGGTCCGGAAAAATCGCCGGTGGAAAGTATTCCATAGAGAGGTACGTACGCGGAAGAAAACTCCTAGTGAAACGTACAGTGGTGGACCGCCAAGCATCCAAATGGTGTGGGTGGTTTCAAGAGTTTTGCCGCGATGTGCGTTCGTGAAATTTGGCGGCTGGGATTAATCCGAACAATTCCTCACAGCATTTCCCATAGTAAATGCGAAAATAAATGCAAAGGAATGCAAAATCTCTTCACAGCGCCAGTGAATCGAGCTGATCGGTAAGGACTCTGTCTTCAACGATTCGAGCCGCTCTGCGCTGAATGCGGTCAAGATGTCTATGGGCCACAGCATCCACTTACCATCAGGTGGACTATGTGCTCGTTTGTCACCCTATTTCTATAAAAAAATGCTGGCTGATGAAGAAGAAGGAAGAATCCAAACCTGATAGAACATGTCAGGTTTGCTCAGATCGCCGAACGGCTCGGCTTCCTTTAGCAACGGTTCGTGCAGCTTTATCCTGACCATGATAGCGAACCGCGTCAGCCATAACTGTAGAGAGCGGGGCGTGTGCTTCGTTGGTCGGTGCATTCTACCGACGCCTGGAAAGAAGGATACAAATTAACCACTTTCGGTACTACGGTCGTCTCGTACGTTATTCGTTTGGACTTTTAGCCATGATAGCTCATGGGCTGAGTTTTCAATCACAGTTTTTAGGGTTCCGTACCTGAAAAGGAAAACGGAACCCTTGTAGGATCACTTTGTTGTCCGTCTGTCTGTCTGTCTGTCTGTCAAGACCCTTTTTCTCAGGAACGCGTGGAGGTATCAAGCTAAAATTCATATCAAACACTTAAGTCTACTGTCCCTTGGAGCTGTGAAAAAATCAAACTTCTAAGCCAACGCAATCAAAAGATACAGCCGTTTATGCCGCAAATTTTCGACATTCGCAAGGCAATCAAAACCTACAGGGCACTTCCCGTGAACTCAGAATCTTAAAATTTGGTACGAAGCAACGTATTATAGCACAGATAAAGAAAAAATTGCGAAAAGCATAAATTTTTAGTTACATCATATAATAAAAATATTTTTAATTATTTTAAACTTATATACCTACGAATTTGTTCGGAACCCTCGGTGCGCGAGTCCGACTCGCACTTGGGCGGTGTTTTTTATAGAATAAGGGTGGCAAACGAGCACACAGTCATAGGTAAGTGGATGCTGTAATAGACATCTACGTCTATCCTTGATTAAGAATCAAAATGCAGATGCGTTGTCGCCCCTGAGGACTAAGATGGAATGCCTTGTTTCCAATAAAAAGGGTCTCTGGTTCTCTACAATCACCATACGAAGCACGGCAGCTTTCAGCCGCTATTTTACCCTGGTGTTTTATGGGAGCACGGTGCTTTCCCGGTCGAACCGACCCATTCGTGCTAGAACTATATCTGGTACTAATATAGCTGCAGCATGGCTCTACCACGTGCTACAACCATAAAATAGCTGCAACATAGCTTTACCACGTAAAACTGAGTGTTAGCAATCTTGTAAATCGTGCTGATTATCCTTATAAAGTCCATATAACGTCAAGCGACACTACATATAGGAAAATAACTTTACATACTATAAGTCTGACATAAAATAAATAACAATTCATTTACAGCTTTGTGTAGTTTTTCAAGCTAGTCGAAAACCCGACAACCGATGGAGAAGAAAAGTTCTCGAGTGGCAGCCTCGTACCGGCAGGCTAAGTGTAGGGCGTCTCCCTACTATGTATATAATAGAGTGACGACCTTGTAAGACATGCAGGAAGTCGATAGATGCAGGTGGCTCGGGACCGTGCTTTGTGGCATTCCTTGGGGGAGGCCTATGTTTAGCAGTGGACTTGTGAAGGGTTGTAATGATGATGATAATGTGTATAGTTGTCGAACTAATATGAGTAACTGTCTGTAAAACGTTTAATATTGTAATTTGCTAGAGGCATATAAGTTCAAGTAGACTTGTTGTCGAATGTATATACAGAAGGTTGGTAAGATAATTAGAATCAATAACGAGATAAACGTAAGAATAGACCGACACTTTAACAAAATTAAACAAAAAAGGTGAACATTTTAAATAGATTTTTATCCAAATAAAAAATGAGAGATAGTACTAATTTGTTTTCTATTATCCGAAGCAATACATTGTAGATATAGTGTATAATTATGTCAGCTAATTTGCACACTCAAAAAATGTACCTTAGTAAGGAAATTGATTGAATAAATTGTACTGAATTTATCTCCGTAATGCTTTTGCATTTATCTCCCACGTCCCTATCAATATGAGATGTTTAATTTCCTCAATTACGTTTGAATTTTCTTTTTAAGGCCCTCTTGTAGTAATGTTGTGTAGGTGTGAAAACGTTACCCCGCACTTCGCAACTGTCGTGCGAATGAATACTTAAACAAGCAGAATTTTAGAACAAACAATGTACGTCCACCCACAGTACAAAATTACACTCTAGGGCCAATCTCAAAGGTTTCTCTGCGGACACTGCCCGGCACTCGTAAACACTTGAACTGTTCGATTTTTTTACAATAAAAATAATAAATAATTGGTAAAATGTGTTCTCATAATTCCTTTTAAAATTTACCGCTTTAAGTCATTTTTCATAATGCGCACAGCCAAGGAGTGGAATGCCTGGAATGTCTGTTTTTCCGAGAGAATATAACAACCTCTTCCAGGTGCGTCTTAACAGGCTTCTCCTATTGAATAAAACTATTTTTACGGATTTTATCGCGTTTAATTAACTTATTTTATATTCCCGACGTTTCGGTTGCTTTCCAGCAACCGTGGTCGGTGTCGTGGCAACCGAAACGTCGGGAATATAAAATAAGTTAATTAAACGCGATAAAATCCGTAAAAATAGTTTTATTCAATGTGTAGTGTTCGCGTAAATATAAGAAATCATTAGGCTTCTCCTAGGCAAGCTCGCTCCATCGTAGACGTTATCTTTGCTCTCGGACCAGATGGAGGTCAAGTGTGAGCCTAATTTAATAATAAAAAAAAATCACGGAATATCTGCAAGGTATACGTTTAAATAGCAATTTAGTGTCACCTTTATGGTTTATTTTTTTTACACATAATTATTATTATTCGCGTTTGTCTTCACACAACCCTTGTCAAGCAAATGTCACAAAAATGATATTGTTATTTGTGCCATTTGTTTGACAAGGGTTATGTATATAAGTTCTCAGGAGATCAAAAGAGTTAAATAGTACTGCAACGTCACCTTAAGAAGGATGACATTCAAGCACATATTGCTACGTGCTGATAATTAAATCCATTTAAAAGATGCTATTGGACTACAAGACACAGAAGCCAATCAGCTAGGACAAATGGTTGTCCTTCCATCATCTAGATCGAAAATAGATCTAGATCTATTTTCGATCAAAGATTAAAATGCTGACGCGTGGTCGGTCACCTCTGAGGATTAAGATGCAAAACCTTGTTACCATTTAAAAGGATCTCCGATTTATATCTCTCACTATACGAAACAAAGCAGTACAACCGCTATTTTGCACTGGTATATTATTATATGAGATCTATTTTTAATTTTAGTAAAATTTTGTTGAATTCATATAAATTACTAAAATACATATAAATTTAAATAATATGGTTGCCGCTTAGGACTGCAAATTCATTTTACGGTTCCGTACCCAAAAGGTAACCAACGGGACCCTATTACTAAGCCTCCGCTGTCCGTCCGTCCGCATACGTAGACAGTTGAAATTTTCACAGAATGTGTATTTATGTTGCCGCTATATACTAACAAATAATAAAAGTTAAAATATATTAAACGAAAGGGAATACGGCTGGTTTTCTGCCGACTTCCAAAAAGGAGCCGGTACTCAATTCGACTGTATGTTTTTTTTTTTCGTTTTTTTTTTATGTGTGTTACCTCATAACTTTTTTCTGGGTGAACCGATTTCGATGATTCTTTTTTTATTTGAAAGCTGGTACTTCTCGTGTGGTCCCATATGAATTTGATCAAGGTCAGACCAATAGTTTTTAAGTTATTCTTAAATATTAAATAACTTATATTGAAGTCGGCTGTACAAAATTTTTAATTTTAAATTATTGAACTTTAGCTGTATAAACAAACTGAACAAGAAGAGACTGCACTATAGAAAATTCATAAAAACTAAAAAGAATAAAAACGAAAAAGGAACAACTAATGCTATCGGTTACTTGCACACCCATTTACCTTATATTTTTAATATCGTTTTTAAATAAAACAATTGCAATACTAAAACATTGAATTTTGAAAAACAACACTGCTGTTTTTAAAAATTATAACATCATCTCAGCGAGTTCAAGGTTAATGTAAGTCCTAACCAATATAATGTGTTTTTTTTTTTTGTATAATCAATCAAATCATAATTGAACAAAAGTGTTGTATTAAATGTCGCTGCCGCTTTTAGTGTTTTGTGTCAAAATTAAATTAACAAAACAGAACATAATTTAAAATGCTTATTACCTTTTCTATAAGTCTCAAATATATACCAATTGTGAACGGTATTTGCTTTTAATAAGATAGTTCGGAATTAAGATTAGCCGCGGGAAAATTTATATAACGTTTTTTACTTACTTGGTATTTTAAAAGCACGTGTTTAAAAACATGTTGAAATAATAAAAGTCAAACAGAATTGACATCTTTTAAACACTTGATTGTCCAACTTAAAAGTCAACCGCTGTTGGCTTCGAATTGAATACTCATTCTGACATATTTGATCAACAAAAAAAATATTACTCAGGACCATTCCTATATATAATACGATAATAGACCGTAATTTACCGCACTTCCAACTTTGTTGAAGTAACAACGACCTTACCAACTTCGAAGGACGACAACAGTTTGCACAGTTCGCATTTTTACAAACTACCCGCATTGTCTGTTAAATCAATTACTCATCTAATCAAAAAGAGATGTCGCCACAATTATTTTACACCGCGATAATTATTTGTTACCAACAAATGGTAATAAGCAATCGGATGTTTGGAGTAAGTGTTACACTGTTTATTTTTGTCCAGAAAGGGCTGCAATTTGTTAACAATTTGTAGCCTTAATAAAATAAATAAATATACGGAATTTAGTGGTGAATATTCTTATAATTCAGTTTATCAATATCAACTCGTTTTTAACAAAAAAAAGTAACGTAATGTTTACGCCGTAAATTTTATATATTGACTTATTTTACGTGGTATGCTGCAGCTATATTAGTAGTAGGTATAGTTGTACCACGAATGGGTGGGCTCGACCGGGGAAGGACCACGCTCTCACAAAATACCAACGTAAAATAGCAGCTTAACGCTTATGTGTTTCGTATGGTGATTGTAGAGAACCGGAGACCCTTTTTACTGGAAACGAGGCATTACATCTTAGTCCTCACGGGTGACAACGCATCTTCATTTTGATTCGTAATCGAGGATAAATGTAGATGTCTATGGGCCGCAGAAACCACTTACCATCAGGTGGACTGTGTGCTCGTTTGTCACCCTTATCCTATAAAAAAAATATATTCAAAGAAACTAACCCGGTTGAAATAACATGACATCTGTGAATTTTGTCGTGACATTAGTTCTGTGCGACAAAAGCGTAAGAAAATCTATTATTACATTTCGTATCTTGGGTGTCGTAAGAGTAAGAGGCGACTATGGGACAAAAATGAATACCAGAAAAATCTTATGGCTTCAGATAGATGGCGGTACAACCATCTGTTAACCAGACATACAAGTCAAATAACCATTTATAAATCAGACGCAAAATAGCCAGACTGGCGACGGGAAGTACATTCGGCTGCCAAGCGTTATGATTAGGATAAATCCTCTCTATAATGGAGCAGCATAGCAATAGGCTAAGGGTCCATATTTTCTCACAAAATTATCGATATTTAACGTCAATATTTTTAATTTTGGGTAAATAATCGATATATCGATATTTTCTTACAAAATTATCGATATTTAATGTCAATATTTTTAATTATACGTGGTAGAGCCATGCTGCAGCTATATTAGTAGTATAGTTGCAGCACCAATGGGTCGGCTCGACCGGGGAAGGACCACGCTCTCACAGAATACCAGCGTAAAATAGCAGCTTAAAACTGCTGTGTTTCGTATGGTGAGTGTAGAGAACCGGAGACCCTTTTTACTGGAAAAGAAGCATTCCATCTTAATCCTCACGGGTGACAACGCATCTGCATTTTGATTCGCAAACGAGGATAGATGTAGATGTCTATGGGCCACAGCAACCACTTACCATCAGGTAGACTGTGTGCTCGTTTGTCACACTATCCTATAAAAAAAATCACGATATTATATCGATATTTATTTTAGAGTATCGAATTCATATCAATTTCGATATATTTTAAAATGACATATTTATGTAATTTATCAGACAAAACAATTGAGTAACAAAAGTACTACAAAAGCATTCATGAGCTGTTTTTTTTTCGTCGTCAAAAGGTCCAGTAATAATATTCTGGCCCTCGTGCTACTACATCATGCAAAACATGACAATATATTGATATTTATCACGCGACAATTATAGATACTGTTTAAAATATCATTTTTTATCACTTGCACATCCCTATATGGGAGGCTCATGTTCAGCAATAGACTTCTACGGCTCAAGATGAAATGGATACTTCACAGATACTTATTTAACTTCTTAATTTAGCACTTTTACTTACATATCACTTTTACGAGTAACACTCAATGATCAGTGCTATACAGACATTTGTATCAAGCGGTTGTTTATCATATCATAGCATCTTATGTCAGCAATTTTATTCTTTTCCACTGATATATCAGCATATCTATTCTATTTAACATCATCAAGTGTGGGAATTACACCTCAACAATGACAGTTGTTGGTCCATAAGTCCCGCATAAACATGGGATCTATAAGCCCTGGGACTTGTAACAAAAAAAGATGTGACAAGTGTTATTTGCCTATCATGTCGTAAATGGTGACTAATGGATTGTGATTGTGTAAGTGATAGGCTATGGATGTATATGGACCTATAACTTCTTTCACAATATTTAATAGGGGTTACAGGCACAATGCTATGAATATTTGTGTTGTTATGTATATATAAGAAATGTGACATCTACTTACCCTGCCCGGCAGCAGCAAGGAGAGTGGCAGTGAGATTGACGGCAGCTCTCAGATATCCAGTACGAAGCAGTTCCCTCAAGCCGGCTTCGTCACGACTCACGTGATCAGCTCGGACCACACCGCGACTACCCGCGGTACTGACGCCCAGATATTTAACTGCCACCTCTTGTAAGGCATCACCCTGTGTTGAAAAGCAATGATCACCAGGGCGACAGTCTACCTAATCCATCCATACAACCATATAGCCTATAATAGTCCACTACTAAATGTAGGCCTATGGCCCCACGGTCACGGGGGGGGGGGGGGGGGGCACTGAGATGTTTGACGTCCTGATGTCACAGTTAGCCAGCTACCTTCAGTTTTTTAATGTTAATTTTTGGTTTAAAAAACTAAAGGTAGCCGGCCTAACTGCCATCATCACACCCCCCGTGACCATAGGTTGCTGTAAAGCACCCGAAACGTCGGAATTAAAATAGTAAATTAAACGCGATAAAATCCGCAAAAAAATAGTTTTATTCAATGTGTAGTGTTTGTGTAAATATAAAGAAATCATAACATTTTATATTACAAGGAAAACTTACCAATTCCTCTTCCAACACCAATCCAGGCATGGTAAGGACTTCTCGTTCTGGAAAAAATGAGCCTTTTGGTGATGATTGCGCCTGAAAAATAATGTAATTGCCATGAACTGTGGGTGTTCAAAGGCAAAGTTCAAACTTCATGATGCATAAAGAATCCATGTTTAAACCATATTGGAAACAGAAAGATTACCAAAAAAATATTTCTTTAAATACAATACAGAAAAATTCCCATGTTCATACAAATATAGTTTTCAGTTTAGTAAGTTACAAAAATAAATATTACAAAATTAAAAAAAAAATTAACACCAATTTTAAAATTCTAAGATTTTCCTATTGTTGAGGCCAAAGAAGGTAATTTGTACGCCCTCCAATTGCGTTCGAGCTAGCGCCTCACCTGACTTGGTATGTAGGTGAGGTAAACGCCGAGGTTGGGCGGCTGCGTGGGAGTCAGTCGCTCGACGCGTGGCCGTAAGGTCGGTGCCCCGCCATCCACGAGGCGGGGAGACCGTCAGGCCCTCTTACCTAAATTCACGGCCCGTCGTGGATCTAGACAGCTAGATGAAGTAAGTGCTTCTACGTCACGTAGATATGTGAATTATGCGATATTTAACTCGTGCGAGAGTGCGGAATAGTGTACGCGCGTCGAGTAGATATACGGTCTAGGATTCGAGCCGCGCATTCCTAGTTTAAGAGCTTCTCCCGGTTAATTGGCAGGATATCGTTATAATTGGGTCGTCGCGTTAGTGCCTTTTTGTGTTTGGTTGCCTAGTTAAATTAATTTTCGTGTCAACGAGGCGTATTTTGAATCTTGTGCGACGTATTATTATGTCGAATTTATAATTTGTGATAAGTGAATCCGGGACATTGAACTTTGAACTACTGTCCGTTGCCGTGTCGGGTATCACGTGTTCAACTCTGCGATGAGTGTGGAATTAGGCGAATTGAAGTTAGTTAAATGTACAATGAAGCTAAGAGACTGAATAGTGACAGTGAAGAAAGAAGTGGTCCAGTGTTGAAGCAGTCTGGAGCGATGCAGTATTTTGGAGCAGCCTGGAACTCGGCCGCTGTTGGTCGCCTATGCTTGCCAAGGCCCCACACATTCACACATCACTGTACACGACTCGCTATCTACCATTACACACACTCACGGCCTGCCCAAGCCTTGGAGCGAAGTTAGCTCCTGATACAGGTAAGTATGTTTGCTTTCTAGTTTGCTCCCATATAGTTTATTGTGATAGAACATATTCCACGTGGCCATATTGAGGCCCGACCTACGTCTGCCCGTCGAAAAAGCTGCTATGGGACCTTTGCAAGGGCAGCTGTAGGCCGTAACACCTATCTTACAATCAATATCCTTATTATATAGGTTGTTTTAGGACTTTGTTATAATAGGGTCAACGAATTTGGGCTCCACATATTTTCATGTAAGAAAAATGCTAGAAGGTTATCTCGTCACGGTTCTCTAAATTATTTTATCTGAAGAGCTCTTGTCTCTGTAAATGTTACCCTTCCCTTGGTTTTAAAGCCTTATGGAATATTTAGAGACAATGACAGGTGACCTGGAAGGTATTAATTTGGTGACAATGGAATGAGATTAAAAGATGGAAGAGAGAAAAAGCCCTAGGATGGGATGCTATGTGAAGTTCCTAAAGGAACTATATCCATGACATATCACTGCTGATGCGAGGAAACTTAGCCATATGTTATGTGTACCCATTTTTAGTTAAGTTTTGTTAAATAGAATTCATGCCTATTGCTATACCTTAAGTAAAGTTTTCTTTGCTTCTTCAGTTGGTATCCAAGCATCCCTGCGCCGGTCAGCTTCTATGTCAACAGCTTGATTCTGTAAATAGAAATGGCTGGTTGTGACACTGCTGCTACCAGATATTTACAACCAAGCACTAAAATTGCTAAAAAAATCTCTACATTTCACTAGGAAACCGTTTATAAAATATGTTCAAAAATATGTGTTCCTAAGCATAATGGTGTAGAACAGGGGTGTCAGGAAGTGTGTGGTTTGCAGTACCCAAAAATTACAACCTATATACGTCCCACTGCTGGGCACAGGCCTGCTCTCATTTCTGAGAGGGTTTTTTTAGTGCAAGGGAATGTTCGCCATGCTGCTACAATGCGTATTGGCGAACTTCACATATCTTTTATATCAAAATAAATTTTTTTCTTATCTCTCAGACATGCAGGTTTCTGCACATTGTTTTCCTTCATCACCAAGCATGTGGTAATCAGTAAATTGCTATTAACAATTTCTGTGGTGCTGGTGGGGGTCAAACCTGGGTTGCTTGCGTACTGAGAAACTTACACCTGAATGCTAAACATCTGAGCTACCACAGCTCTATTGCAGTACATATACAGAGTTATTTTGCAATATACGCCCAAATTTGCATTGAAGATCCAGAATAATTAATATATACGAATGTTGAGGCAAAATTAATTTAAAAAATCTCAAGCATTCTGTCCTTCTTATCTTTTAAATTCAGAATGTGTGGTGATGTATTATTTTAACTGATTGTCTTATTTTAATATTATCATGATTAGTCAATCATAAGAATAATTAAATCTTATGGTAATATCGAACAATAGTTTACCTTTATACTAAGGCCATCCATAGCCTCAGTGAGTATAGCTGGAGTTGCCATTCCACTTTTACTTGTTCCTATTTGCGGTTCAGGGCCTATTGTATCAAAGAAAGTTGATGGATCAGGTAAACTAGCGGCAGGAACAGCTGTAGAACCACTCACAGTAGGCAAAACATTTGCAAAGGTCATTTCTTGGGGCATTTTCTGTTGAGTAAGCGCTGTTGTAACATTTTGTGAGAAGAGGTTAGTCGTCGTTGTTGTATTCACTATATTAAAAAAAAGCCACGTATTAATAAAGTAAAACGTTAAAATATATAATTTGTAAGAAAAAACAAACCTTCATTCTCTCCTAAATATATACTTTGAATCATATCAGACGGCGATGACCCTATCTCGTCAAAAAATTGCGATGCGGGCGGCACTTCTGAACTACTAAAATATTGACTCAAAGAGGGTTTGTTATCCATATTCTATTATTTACATTCGAAAACGATTTGTTCCCTTATCTTTATGTTATTAATTACCACAAACTATATAGAGCACCCGCCTAAGGGTATGGTATTAGTATTCTGTGATATAGAGTAACTATACCACAGAATACTTTACTCCTAGAACTATACTATATACACTTCTTACTAGTTTGTGACTATATATCACAGAATAGGCTTGAGCAAGAAATATCGATGTATCGAAATATCGATATTATTTAATAAAAATATCGATATATATTGTCGATGATTTAAATAGCGATATTTAGATACATAGATATATATTTTAGAGTATTGAATTCGTATCAGTTTCGATATATTATATTGAAATATTGTATTAATGACAAAACATGTAACAACAAAAACAGGTACAAAAGTTTTAAGGTGTGGTTGATATTTTTTCGTCGTCCAACCGGCAGTAACATAAAATTTTTGACCTTATCTTTACATCATGCATATGATGACGTTATATCGATATTTATCACGCGATATATATCAATACTGATTAAAAATATCAATTCGATATATATGATATATTTTCTTTTTTAGTGGAGTTAATTTATTTATCTACGGAGTTAAGCCCGCTTTTCACTATGGGATATAATATAATATATATTACATCTCGAGATATAAATTAATATCGCTCACCATACATTTCCTATGAAACCGTTTACAAATATATAATATATATTACATCTCAAGCTATAAATGTTTTTTCCATCGACTGAGCGATATTTTCATATTATATTTCGCCCTCTGTACCCCGCACACCGTTCCGCGCCATCGCAAACGGTGTGCGGGGTAAAGGGGGGTAATCCAATGACCAATGACGAACGCACACTGGTTAAAAGATATATCTCACAGTGTGAACGTCAATCGCGGGATATAATTTATATTTCAGGATATAATATATATTATATCTCATAGTGAAAAGCCAGCCTTCATTAGCTATTTAGTAGTTTTTTTTATAACTGGCCTCACAGCTCTGGATTCTAGCCCTTCTGAGCCTGAAGTTTCAATGTATAATTATCTTCCATAGTTCACTGCTTCACAACATGTTGATGCGTCACATTGTGCAGCTGTTGGGAGATTTTGACGGCAACTTGAGCCAGCAGACAGCTGACAGTTGACGATGGTATCTCAAGACGCCTAAGCAGACAAACACCTTATCTTTAGAATCACATCACCATCAGAGCACTTGTTTCACCGTTTCCACTAATAGTTCACATGCGCAAACACTTAATACACAAAATCGTACCACTTTTACATATCAAAATCCACTTCAAACCGTTACTTAAACAATAATACAGGAGCAGCAATCCGCCGCCAGTAAGTTCCCGCCAAAAACCCCTATTAGGTAGTGATGGGTCAACTCCAAAGAGTACACTATAGGACAGTTATACAGGAAGATCTCCCAACTCGAGTTTGGGCTGTTGTACATGAACGGATCAAGTGAGCCAGCAAAAGAGTAAGAGTGCGATCGAAATCATAACGCTAGATTGGCTGAGTACCTAAATTATAAATGATAGTTCACGGGTCTACTGAATAATGACGAGTATGTAAACACCGATACGAATACAACATTTTAAAAGTTGGAAATGGACTCTAAAAATATTTCAACTACTTCCGCATGAACGAGGAGACATTTCATCATTTCACAAGTCTATTTCCAGTCTCAATCTCAACGTATCCGTTCTACTTCGGCCCACTCATACGCAAACACACACACGGCTGCAGTATGTACACAATACACATGCAGTTTTGCCGGCCGGGGAAGCGGCACGGCACCGGCGACAGCACCGGTAAGCATCGCCGTGTCGTCACTGGTGCCGGTAAGTGGAAAAACATGCCTTATATTTCATACATTTTTTCTTCCCCGATAGCTGTGAGTTGCCATCGCCGTCAACGTGCCGTCACCGTGCTGGTAAATGGAAAACCGTGCATTAGGACAGAAAAACATGTTGGTGAACTGAACTTTTTCATACGCATGCCCATAGATATAGTATATACTAGATTGGCAAGAAGTGATTAGGGCGGGACCAAAATTAAAATAAACCAGTGTGCGTGTAATGTGCATGTATGGGTGACAAATATTGCTGCACCATGCATTGCCCGCCTCAACTTCAATTATTGAAACTGATTGCAGTATATTCGTGTCTTCTTATTTGACGTGTCTATTGTTACAATTTTAGAAGGCTACGTATGTATGCATGTTCATATATTCCCTCAGATCTTCTAAGCTACTCATCATATTTTAACAAATTATATATTTTTAGAAGCATTGTACCTTTTCGCGGGTTTAGAGCTGCATAAAGTCACTTAAAACCTAACATGGTGGCTTAATGCAGAATTATAAGTACTCCCAAAAATGAAATAAATATTGAAATATCGTGTCTGGGTATCCAGTAAAAGGTGTAATCCCGAATATTCTCGACATTCCGAAAATATATGTTGTAAAAATGTTAACTATATTATTAGTTAATTTGGATTTTTATTAGGGGAAAAACTTATGGGCTTGCTTCACAGATGACCTCGACACATTTGTGACGTACTGCGCGCAAGCGTGTGTAGCGTAATATTGTGGACTGTGCACACGTATACTCATATATGATTGAGTTTTCACTTCTGTTCGCAGTCCTTGTGGCTGATCCTGTTTTTTTTTTTAATATAAAACTGATGTAACCTAAGAACTTACACTCTACCTGATAATGGTAAGTGGCTACTGCAATACATATAAATATCAAAAAGAAGGTCGTTGTTACCTCTTCGGACTGAGATGGAATGCCTTACAGCCTGTTTTTATACTGGTACTATGTAAGAGAGAAAAACCTACCTAGAAGACCTCTCAGATAAAATAGGGTTCTACCACTTTACGCGTTCATACATAAACTTCAAAAAGTTTTAGTCTAAAGTCGCTGAAAAAACAAGAATCATGTTGAGATAAGAAATGTGTACAAAAAGCTATAAACTAGACTAGTTAGAGTATTTTTTTTTTAGAATCCTTTAATGTGAACCAATTTATTGTAAAAATGTTGTCATTAAAGTATTTTGCTACATACTATAGTGTAATAATAAAATAAGTTTCAATATATGTGATTTTATTAATAAGAGTTTATGGTTGGATGTGTTGTAGTATTTTCCCTAATGCACGAGAAAAACATTTTTCTTCAAAGTACTTGCTGCATTTAGTCGAATATTTTCTTTTAGGGAACCATTAAAATCAATACAAGCTGTATTGAAGTTGCGTAAGTCTCGCCGCATGCATTTGGAGATCTGTCTGTTCAGTTGCCTGTATGCTGTCAAATCTGTTGAAGAATGTAGCTCCATTTTCCGTCTAACAGTCATGAGATTAAAAGTGTGATCTGAGAGTTTTTGTGTTCTTCTGCGGCGGGTTTTGCAGAACTTAGCTCCAACCGCATGGACAGTTTCCACGAGTTTGTCATTCATATCGTCCACTTCATTGCAGTCTTCTAGGCACTGAAAACGGTTTTGTAACTCGAGCTGAAAGGTTTCGGGACTTTGAAACAGAGCACGAGAGCACTCAACTATATCAAAATAAAAGTGTATAAATGTAATTTTATTTTGCCGTTTGTCAAACAGATTCTATAATTAGAAAAAAATGGTTAAGGTTAATTCAACTAATTATCAACCAAAAATGCGTTGCGGGTGGTGAAGTAAGGTTATAACCTTACTTCACCACCCGCAACGTACGGTTACACTAGTGCAATATTCATAGCATCACGCTATTTTCCCCAAGGTTTTGCGCGGAGCTTCGGATTATATTCCCAAGTCACAATGATAAAACAGCGTAGTTAGATATAATACATTTAGTAATACTCTTGAAGCGCCAATAGACGCCGGCGCATGACAAGCGCAGTTCAATGTGCCAGGATAGTATAAATTCCATAGTATTTGATACTCACAATGCTCGATGCCCGATTCATGCTGGATGGCCGACGACATTGTGCCGAGCGCTTAAATAGCGTGGTACATCGCCTACAGCGTTAGTCGTGGTTAAGTAATAGCTGCGCGGATCAATAGATCTGCGAAATTAAGTTGCACTTGCCGCGGTCAGTCTATGAATGAGTGACCATTTTCTTAACATACCGAGATTGAGAGAATAGAAAGTGCATCTGTATCCTTTACTCTTGTAAAATCATTATCTTTTTAAAATTCATGCAGCTAAAATGATTATAATTTTACTATTTCCTTATACTTTTCAGAGATAGATGAAAGAATATAAACATGAAGCATTATGAAGACTCATAAATATATTAGGCTTTAAACAGAGCAATCTTAATTAACTGATTCTTACAAGTTTCCTTACTTAAATTATTAAGTTTACATTCATATTTAAGTCGAAACGAATATTAAAATAAACTTCTATAATGTATTTAATTATTAATTATTAAATATTTGTAATTATGAAAAGTAATCCTTATCTGAAAAATAAAGCAGCCATTATGTACTCCGTGTCCCCGTTTTTTATTTCCCTATCAAAACATTTTATAAAATATAAATAAGTATATTTTTAGTTAAGTTTTTCCCTATTTATATTAACAATATGTTAAAAAAACCATGGAAACTGTCTATGGCAGTAAACATTTTTCTCCAAAGATCATAACTCGAAATTATAACTTTTCGATCTGATTCTTAGAGAGTTTTTGTAAGTTTATTGGTAGTAACCTGGGATTTTTTATACATTTGAATTAAAATCCAATAAAAGGCAGGTAGATTCAGATTGTTCCCAGGAACATGTTACATGAATATTTTTAATTATTTTAGAACTATCATGGTAAAAATTCAGTTAGTTTTAGAAGTTATTCAATTTCGTGCACTAAACTATTTTTTTTTAATTCTTTTTACTGCTTCCTTAACAATCATTTTTCAATAGTCCTTGTAAGTATAATGTACATCACTAAACGCAACAATGACAAATCACAATTAGTCACGCGTTTTCGGGCTGTCAGGTCGTCTAA